TCCAAAGTTCATTTTCATACTTTATTTATGGTCTGACGCCTAGATGCGTTTCGCAAGAACACTTCTTACATTTTCAAAAACAATTTTATATATACTCAGATCGTGCTTGTATTCGTTTTTGGATGAGGTGACAGAATACAAATATAATAGGGAAAAGACAGAACACGAAACAATGGGTATATTGTGTGTTTTATCTTCTTGCTTCTGTGCTGGTTCGGGGTCTTGAAGTGGGTAGAATGTAATTATGTGTTAATTGGCTGTTGATCGTTGGTTTTGACTTTTTGATGTGTTGGGCCTCACTGATGTAGAGTCTCCTGTTATCGTTGTATCTGTCGATAATTTCTCTGTTGCTTGTTAAGATTTCTCTGGTGATGGTCTGGTTGTGTGAGGAGATTATATGCTCCTTAATGGAGCCCTGTTGTTTGTGCATAGTTAATCGCCTAGAAAGAGATCCTAGGGGTACAAACCGGATCACAATACACTCAGTCCATCATCATCCTGATTGATTCGTCCACAGGCCTTCCACAGGGATGACATATTTGACATCGAGACGCAAAAGAAGGTTACCACTAAAAAACACCTTACAAGCGGAACTTATTGCAGAAAGAGGAAAGATTCGAGGTAACTACAGAAGCACCATATTGTCCCACGAGTTCAAAGCGGCAGATAAGAGCCTTCGTGAGAATAAGGAGATAGTCGTCAGGAGAGGTGACAAGTCGCCAATATACGCTATTCTTAAAAAAGACGAATATCTGGCAAAAATGAACCTCATCCTCTCCGACCAAACTAAATTCCAAAGGGTAACGAAGGACACTACAGCCGAATTGAAAACGAAGGTAAACAGATTGATCGAAACTGAACGCCAAGAAATCCGGACTCCACCTGCCAAAGGTTATCGGGAAGTACAAACCAGGTTACGCATATGGGAATGTCAAGACCCAAAAGCCTGGAAGCCCACTTCGGCCAGTCATCAGCCAGATACCCACACCCACATACAGACTGGCTAAGCGACGCAACAGCCTGCTGACTCCTTATATGCCTTGTGCTTTCAGCCTGAAGTCTCCAAAGGAATTCGTTGACTTACTGAGGAGAGCACGGGCCACAGGGATAAGAGCCTCGGTGGATGTGGATTCGCTGTTTACCAACGTGCCTGTGGACGAAACAATCAGGATGATGATGGACAGAGTATATCGTGATCCGGGTTGTACTCCTCTTGACATACCAGCTAGCATACTGAGAAAGTTATTTGCAGTTTGAAATTACGATTTTTTTATAACGAAAATATGCCAATTAGTGAAAACAGCGATGGGTCACATTTTTCCCATATCTCATTACAGTTTTCAAATTATCTGAAATATTGCAAACCTGAATCATGAGCGTTATTTTCAATCCGAATTCTGGCTCACTGCACCTATTTGCAGTTTAAAACTACGGCTATTTATACCGTAAACATGCCAATTACTGAAAACGGCGATGGGTTACATTTTGCTAACCCCCCCCCCCCCTCTGCAGTTTTCAAAATATCGGAAATCTGAATCATAGTCATTTTCGAGCCGAATTCTGGTTCACTGCACCTATTTGCAATTTGAAATTACGATTTTTTTTTACCGAAAATATGTCAATTACTAAAAACAGCGATGGTTGACATTTTGCCCCCCCCCCCCTTGCAGTTTCCAAAATATTGGAAATATCGCAAATCTGAATGATGAGCGATATTTTTTAGCCAAATTCTTGCTCACTGCACCTATTTGCAGTTTGAATTTGCGACTTTTTATACCGAAAATATGCCAATTACTGAAAACGGCGATGGGTCATATTTTGCCCAAATCCCCCTGCAGTTTTAAAATATCGGAAATATCGCAAATCTGACTCATGAGCGTTATTTTCGAGCCAAAATCTGGCTCTGTGATCCCATTTGCAGTTTGAAATTACGATTTGTATACCGAAAATATTCCCATTAACGAAAACGAAGATGGGTCACATTTTGTCCCCCCCCCCCCCCCCCCTCCCCATTTGCAGTTTTCAAAATATCTGAAACATCGCAAATCTGACTCATGAGTGTTATTGTCGAACCGAATTCTGTCTCACTGCACATATTTGTAGCTTTATATTACGATATTTTATACCCAAAAACAGTGATGGGTCATATTTTGCCCCCCCCTGAAGTTTTCAAAATATCAGAAATATTGCAAATGTGACTCTTGAGCGTTATTTACGAGGTGAATTTTGGCTCACTGCACCTATTTGCAGTTTTAAATTACTTTTTTTATACCGAAACTATGCAATTACTGAAAACGGCGATGGGTCACTGTTACGGCCGCTATGGGTCGCAACCGGGTTCTTTGATGGTGGAACCAAAGTACTAGTATCCGACCCCAAGTCGGTAATGGCTTTGAAGGAGTAGGCTAGGTAATGCAAGAAATAAAAAGGAGGGAGATGAAATGAACACAACACTTCATCCTTTATCAGTATATTCACTTAACTTATTACCACTTTCCCATCATCTTAAATATTAAATGCTAGAATATTACTACAAGTGACAATGTCAGACCACGGAGGAAAAATGAAACAGGAATTTCCTTAAGTACTTTCGTATATTAAATACATCTTCAGAAGGTTGACCTTCTGAAGATGTATTTAATATACGAAAGTACTTAAGGAAATTCCTGTTTCATTTTCCCTCCGTGGTCTGACATTGTCACATTCTTAATCACGTGTTTATTTTCGTGATATACACACATTACTACAAGTGAATATTTACATCCCGCCAAACACACCGAAACTACGACGTTGGTACTACGTTGGAACAAGTTTTAACACCTAACCAGTTATAACAACCAATATAGCAAGTTGTAATAACGTTCTAATACGTCATAAACATGTTAAGCCAAGATGTAACAACTTTATTGCAAGTTGTAACAAGCGGAAAATAGTGACAGTTACGGTTTGTTTTTCCAGGGATGTGTCGCTCTCACATAGGACACTAAGCACTCCTCGATGCTAAAGCGATGCAGCCTTTGTCAATTTCCGTGTTTCCTCAACACACAGTACCGTCCTCAACCAGTTCTCGGAAACACCAACGAGTCTACCCTTGCCATGGGCCAGCCTACCAACAGTATTACTAGGTGCCTCGTGTGAATGCCCACAATCAATGTCCAGCCAAGTGCTGGCAGAGAACTTTAGCTACACGCTGATGGGCCTCTACACGGACAAATACAGGGGTAGCGAACCCCTGGCAGGAGCCTCTAACGACGGGCTAGTAACGCTCCTCAAACAGGCACTCTACTACCGGTCGGAACTTCCCCCTAGCCAGTCCAATACGCCCAATTCTTTCCTTGCCACTCCACTGGCAGAAAGCAGATACCACACAGTCCTTCTTCGGTGGTGGCTCACTTAATCATCAAGCAGAATTAAGTAGAGATTAGGCTGCCCAGGGTAGACTGCTTGTCTCCGTACCACTGCAGCCTTACGTCGCCTCTGTGGATACAGACACGTCATCAGCAAGCTGGCAGGTACTGGTGAAACTAGGAAAGCCAACTTACGGACTCTGGCATATATACAGCTCATATCACAACAGATAGCGTTGATTTCTAGTCGCCACCTCACAAGAGGTCATCCACAGCGACTCCTCTGGCTGACCAAGGCAGGAATTGAACCTTTGCATGTATCAGACAGCCACCACCATATAGCATCGTCCATATTGCGTCCGGTACTGTGGGGGTTGGGGAGCAGACTCACAGATGGCGCCGACGTCGCTACTCCATACTCCGACGATGCAGTCGGGTTCGTAACAGTCACATTTTGCCCAAACCCCCTCGCCAGTTTTCAAAATATTGGAAATATCGCAAATCTGACTAATGAGAGTTATTTTCGAGCCGAAATCTGGCTCACTGCACTTATTTGCAGATTTAAATTACGTTTTTTATACCGAAAATATGCCAATTACTAAAAACAGCGATATGTCACAATTTTTCCCAGATACATATTAAATAGTGTTAATTTAACGATTTTAAATCGCCGATTTCAGTAATTGGCATATTTTCGGAATAAAAAATTCGTAATTTGAAACTGAAAATAGATGCAGAGTCAGAATTCAGCTAAAAAATGACGCTCAGGAGTCAAATTTCCGACATTTCGGATACCAGGTTGATGGGGTTCTGGGAGTTGTTCTACTCCCCAAGCCCGGCCCGAGGCCAGACTTGACTTGTGAGAGTTTGGTCCACCAGGCTGTTGCTTAGAGCGGCCCACATACCCACCACAGCCTAGTTGATATTTTGGAAACTGCCTGGGGGGGGGGGGTAAAAATCTGACTCTGCGCTGTTTTCAGTAATTGGCATATTATCGGTATATAAAGACGTAATTTAAAACTGAAAATAGGTGCAAAGAGTCAGAATTCAGCTCAAAAACGACGCTCAGGAGTCAAATTTCCAACATTTCGGATATTTTGAAAACTGCAGGGGGGGCTTGGGTAAAATTTGACCCATCGCCGTTTTCAGTAATGCGCATACTTTCGGTATAAAAAGTCGTAATTTGAAACTGAAAATAGGGGCAGAGAGAATTCGGCTCAAAAATGACACTCGGGAGTCAAATTTCCGACATTTCAGATATTTGAAAACTGCAGAGGTGGTTTGTGTAAAATATGACCTTTCGCCGTTTTCAGTAATTGGCATATTGTCGGTATAAAAAGTCGTAATTTAAAACTGAAAATAGGTGCAGAGAATCAGAGTTCGGCTCAAAAATGACTCTGAAATGTCGGAAATTCTGATAGAGCAATTATATTTTACAGTGATATATAGTTGGCAGAAATGATCTCTGGATGGTCCCTTAAGACTTTGCTTCATCCACAGTAATAAAGTAAAATGATTTTTGGTAATTTTGCGAGGAATGATGCATTTCAGTGTCATCATAACACTTGATACTGGACTATGGACGATACATTTTAGCATCATCTGAATGCGAAAGTGGTAACAGTAATGTAGGAATATTTGTAAACACACAACACTAATATGCAAAATTGTTTATCAACTGAAGATTAAGATTATCTAACATTTTAATAAATTTGCATATCATAAATATGGAAAAATGGATATTTATCAATTTATTACAATATACAAGCTTGTACTCCAATTTCTACCCCCCCCACCCTGCCCCCCTTCTCCTAATACTGCCCTGTGATATAACAGGAGACCATCAAATAACTTGATATTTTTCATGTCTAAACAACAAGAGAACACAACCTAAATCTTGAACAGGCATACATGGCAAGCTGTATTACATCATTTTCATTGCTATGACAATGAAAATACAATTATATACACTTTAATAAATTTAAAATAAAGTACACAACTGTATAATTGTAAATTAAAACATTTAAGTTACAACGATAAACATTTATTATATAATTATCACTATATAAACATGTGAATAAAATTTCCTATCAGTTTTATAATGAACATCTTATCTTTCTGAAGATAAGAAGATATTCAGAATATAACTGAAGAACTTAATCATTTATAAATATTGCCACCAATTAATCCAAGTGTTGCAGTGATGTCTTTAAATGCCCAACATGCCCTTCAATATCAACCACAACCAAATTTCTTTGGTTTGCAGACAATAAGACCCATTTGTAAGTTGACAATCTGATGTCTTACCACGTCGAGATATCAGCAAGATGTACACAAACATGCTGGTTACGATTAAGATTTGCAAGTTATGTGCATTCCATGTTTTACAAGCAGAACCAACCTCATACTACTGTAGTCTGAAAACACTCATTTAATCCTCACTGTAGGAATTTACACCTAATAAGGAAAAACGAGAATTACATACCAATACAAGCTTGCTATTAAGTCCACTCATTTTATAGAGAAATAAGCAACAATCAATTCTATCAACACTCCTAAAAGCTATTCAAAGGCTAAGACTGTTCTGGTGTACTGTAGTCTTCACTAACTAGCTCTGTTGCATGACCATTTTGAGGCAAAGCCGAGGAATCTTGCGTGGCTGCAGATTCTTGGAGATCTAATGTTGGGGTGGCTGACAAACGATCACCCAAGACTCCTTGTATGCGTTTTGTCATGCCAATAAGAGGCCGCTTAATATCTGACCCACTGAGATCAGAGTCACCCAACAAACGTTTCACTCCTACTCCTTTCATCTTGAGCATTGTATTGATGACCCTTAGATCCTGTAAAAAAAATATAGAAAAATACACATGAGCTTTTTTTTTTCTTTACTCAAGTTCTGTAATATTAAAAGCAATGCAACATCAACAAGTCATGAAGAGTATGTAGCATCATCAATGTCACTGGATATTCAAAAGGCACTAAATAAGGCTTACTTTGCCAATATGAGAACAAAAGGACACAAGGTGAGCAATACCAAAGGTATCTGATTTACAAAGGATTCTATCATGGGACAAACAACCCAGATGGAGATCAAGAAAGCAAGAATGACAACCTTCCTGAAAATCAGGTGGACAATGCAGTTTGGACAGTAAGAAGCAAGGCAGCATTCCATTAACTGCCCATGAATTAAGTATTAATGGCCAATAAAAAAATAATTATATAAAAATATATATATTATATATTTTTATATAATTGGGAATAAGTAAATGTAACATGGGAATAAGTTACATTTAAGAGTGTGCAGTTTGTTGCCTGTAACATCAGACCAATGACCCTGCCAACAGTCATGGATTGACAAATGAATGACTGGGTAGAAATCAGAATAAGACAAGCCTGTTTGGGAAACATAACACGTACGGATGGCCTCCTTAGCAGGAGGAGATCACACGTTCATTTCAGGCAATGCCAATATGTCTGGGAACCCAGAAAGCTTCACTGTCTTAAACCTGCTAGAGGTTTGTAACAAACAATATCAGATTTCTACCACCACAGAATGCAAAGGGTTAAAAGACTCCAGGGCCATGAGGGCACAGAGCTGACCACAATGACACCGAGAACGGAGCCGCCAGAAAGCCAGTTGAAGAAAATATAGAATTGCATAAAGTTCCACTGTGAAAATGTTAGTTTCCAGGTATAGGCAGCAACATATATGTTTGGTCAGGAAAGATAACAGTCATCAACACTGCTAACAGACTTAGCCCCATCTGTGTATAAGGCAATAGTCCAAGCACAAAGAATAGTGTTGAAAGATTTAACTTTAATATAGGAGAATAAGCCATTACCATGTGGGGTCAAGTTCTTTCATAACTATGCAAGACCCTCCAAGAGGGCAAGGACTGAACAACATGCAGCAAGAGATTGCACACATGAACCAAAAGAAAATCTTTCAAGACATCCTCTCAGAAAAATAAAGATGATGAAAGGAAACAGGGACCCATTTCAGGGGATAACAATCAATGCACGGAACAAGCAAGAGAGGATATTGCAGGGACCTCAAAAGCAGTGAAGATCCCGACAATCCATTAGAGACAGAATACCGGTTTCAACATACAAGCTCTGGGTAGAGGACGAATGAAAAAAATATACAAGAATGTAAGAACTCTTTGAATATATAAATAAATAAATAAATAAAAATAAAAAGCACCAGTGCCGAGATGTGACCCAGTATCGTGCAGAGCATCAAGGTAACGAAGGGCCAAAGGAGAAGAGGAGTGGGCAGGGTAGCCATAATAGAGTTTAGGCAGCATGAGAGAAGTGCAAATAGAAGTGTGTATCAGTTCCCCAGGAAGTATAGGACAAGACAAAGTAAAGTAAGGGTCTTGGTGCATTCAACTCATTGATGAGAGGACAAAGGGTGACCAAGACTAACAAATGTTAATCATTAACCCCAAAAGTTTTGCAGAATATTTTTACAGAAGGGTATTATCATAGACCGACAAAGAACGACCTGCTCTCAAGCAAACGTCAAATCACATGTCTTAGTTGTAGAGAACTTGAAGCCATGATTGGTGTCCAAGGAAAATATGGTCTCAATCGCTAGTTGGCATTGCTGTTGGAGGAAGGGGGGGAGGGGGTTATTACCCATGATAGAAGAAACCCAATGAAATGTAATGAAACGCCATTTTCTGGGCGAGACCCAGAGCCTCCCTGGAGCTATCAAGGCTGATATGGATACATTAAACTTTGGCATCAGTAAATGTGAATGGAGTTCTAGGCCTGCTGGGGACCATGAGCCAGAACCTGGCTCCCCTCAGAGGCACATGAGGAGCAATGGCCTATAGAAACCCCCATGTGGTTGCACCCAGAAAGATAAGCACCCTAAAACAAACCCCTATTCTGGTTAAGAAATTGCTACTGAAAGCCAACAACAAATTATGCTGTTTGGACACCATACCAGTATAGTTGTACAGTTATGGTGAACAAAACATGTAGATACTTATATATAACATGTGTAAATAGTGTAATTAAAACAATACCAATATGGTGGGAGGAGAAATGTTGGCAAGTGAGGTGCCAAACATGTTCACACACTGGGTTGTCATTGCTTTATCAGGGTGATGCTTTTCCAAGTATGCAGTCACCTTTTCAAACATTCCCAACACTTCCCTGATCTCACTGGAAGAGGCAGCATCCTCCCTTACCTCCTCATCCCTTTACTAATGGTGCAAATTGTTGATGAGGACCTTCCATACTCCAATGTGAGATCAGTCACACGAACACCACGCTCATGCTTTGCTATAATTTCCTTCTTCAAATCCACAGTAATTGTCTCTTTCTTCCTTTTGACAACACTATTTTTAGCAAGCAGCTTCTTTGATGATATCGTGCGTCACAAATTGTAGTCACAAAACCACAAAAAAAAAAAGAAGCGCAAATAAATGCAGAGGGATGCTTGTCGTACACGATACAACAACAACACTGGCGTTGGAGGCATTCGAGAATTTGTGAGAACCAGCGAGACGCTAGGAAGCACCGTGTGGTTTTGCTCGTCAATAGAGACAAATTTGCTGCGAGTGGCTCGCTCGTTACTCGAAATGCTCGTAGATAGAGCTGCTTGTTAATCGAGGTGCCACTGTATAGTGAAGTGTTAGAAGTTAAAACAGAGATGTTGATTCTCTCACATTCTACAAAGTCAAACAAACCTGCCTTTGCTTGCACAGGCATGGGTAGCCACCAAAGCTAATTTGCCTTTTGTAGGAATATGTTTGGGAAAGGCATGTCCGTAGCACATTCAACTACCACTAAAATGCAAGAATGAGACTGATTACACCACAGTTGTTGGTGGTAAGAACCCTAAATAGCTACTTTTCCTCTATTTTGCTCTGCTCTGTAATATCATCCTCCAGTCCTCATCTTCCTTATTTCAATCAATTTCATTGAAACTGTTCTTTAAGTTAATCAAGTGACAAACCAGTCCCATAATCATTTCTCTGCCACAGAGACAGTGAGCTACCTAAGCATGTGTACAGACAGTACTATGAAACTCATTTAAACTGGTGATAGAATATTACAGTACCTTAGCAGGACTTCTGTTGAAAAAATATGGCAAGGGTTTCCGTGGCGACATTGCTGTACTGCCCTTCACTGGACTCAATGAATTAATGAAGACAGAGTGATTGCTGGAAATTCTTCGACGGGGAGAGACTGGAGTGTGACGCACAACAGGAAGTGGTGACAGAGGAGGAAGGTCACCCTACAAAAAATAAATGAAACCCAATATAAATTGACAGTAAATTGGTTGCATACATGAAGTACAAAGTACAGTTCTGTATACTATATAATAAGCACAAGTGAATTCATACAAATTTGAAATTAAAAATGGAATTTAACAAATGAGTAGGGTAAGAAAAAAATTGAAACTAAGTCCTCAAATTTATCACATGTAAATGTTTTAACATTAAAATAGTAGTTAATGTTGTCACGGTGTGAATAACTAAGGTACTTTGAATACAAATTACAAACTTTTACACCTAATTCAACAAAGATAAAAGATTATTGTGTGTAGCAATGTAATGAAATGCCCTTTTCTGATTGGCCTCCAGTACCAACCAGAAAAGTACCACCAATTCTATGTAGTACCAAGCTTGGCTCTGGTATCACCAAGAATTAGCCTAATGCATCAGGGCTCTGAGACCCACCTGTCACCTACCAAGAGCCAGGACCAGGGTCTAAGCTGAATCACAATGCCCAAGCATGGCAATTCAACTGGTAATCCAAGGAAAGCCAGAGCAAAAAGGACTATCATAGTAATCAACTCAGAGGACAGATGCCACAGAGAGGAAAATGCACAAGGCCAGTTAGGCCATCTCCTACTGCTGCCTCAAAGACAGACAAATGCACCACAATGTTGACAAGAAAAGCTGGGAACCAGCTCTTCTGAACACCTACACCTCTTCTAGAGATGTCTGTGTTTGAGCAGGTCTTTGAGACATCAGTAGGATAAAGAACAAAATCCAGTAAAAACCTGAGACATTACTAAAGTCTGTAAGCATGATGTCTGGAAGCATAGAAGGCCATGACCACATCCCACACGAGCAGATTGAATAACTTGAGAATGGCATTCACAGCTGCAGAAGCAGACAAAGCAGAATATGAAGTAAGTTTGAATAGGGACCGAGAGACCTCTTGAACTGCCTGAATTAAAAGCTCTTGTACAGCAAAAGAATGGAGGAATCTCACCAAGGCAGTGTGCCTTTTAGTCCAGTGCTATCAACACAGAATATCTAGGGCACTTGGATATGAAACTGCCATTCCCTACAAAGGCCCCCCCAAAAAAACAAGGATGCTACCATCCAGTCAAGTGCCTACATAAGACTGTACAGATGCCATTTACAACTCTTCCCCCTCCCCTAAATAATTATCTGTCAATTATGAAGAAGCTAGGATATCACCACAGGCAGAAAGTTGAATAAAATCCATCCTCAAAGAAGAATAGATTCAATTCAGACCTCAGTACCAGTTTTGCAGCAGGTACCGATACAAGTACACCCGAGCCATACTCGATGAGGTAGTAGAAACACGCACAAGGGAAGTATATCCAGGTCATAAACTGAGACTGAATGCACCCGTGGGGAACTGGGGTGGTATCAAGTTCATATAGTATCGTTGCAGGTGGTAACAAAATCTGTATGAAGCGACAAACCTTCAGGGTCAAAGGGCAACCACAAAACCTCCATCGGAAAATCTAAAGCCGATAACCTTTCCTTGCTACAGATGAGAAAAGACCAGGGAAGGGCTCACATACCTATAGAATCAATTTGTAAAGAATAAGTCAATTAACCTCCATTATATCCCAAGAGGAGGCCACCCCAATACCACCACTGCCAACCCCACTTCAATCAGTGCCCAGGTGTCTATGGGACCCAGAGTATAAAACTACTAGGGAACCCTCACCTTATAGCCAGATTATGGTCCTGGCACCTGGAAGATAACTGACAGGTCTCAGAAGCCTAGTTTGTTGAAACAAGGTTGTGGTACCAGAGCTAAGCTTAGAGCTACAGGGAAGTACCTCTCAGAAATATTTTTGGATTTTATAAAGGCAACTGTAAATGTAACATTGTTCTGCAAATATTCATGTGCGCACCTTCAAATGGTAAACATGCAATATACACTGTACATGAAATAATATCCAAAGTCAATAGGCTTTTAAATTAAAAACAATCTAGATGCCAATTTCTTTCAGCCTAAGTCTGATCATTTTTAAATAATCTTTACAAATTATTTTGCATTTAAAAAACCTACCTCCTGAGCTGCTCGGAACTTGAGAGCAAATGCCTTCATTTGTTGTACATATACTTGGTTATAAAATAAGATGAGATCACCTCGTTCTTCTGAATCGAAGCTAGCCGAGGTTCCTGTCATTTGACTTGGTGTAGGTGGGGGCGCACTTCCATGTTGCCGACCAATATCACCTAAAAAAAATATTAAAACCAAAGTCTAGTTTTAATTATCAATAAAACCAAAAAAAACATCAAATGATTAAGCACAAACTAATTAAACATAAAACCATAAAGAAACAGTGTTTATCACTGGCAGGAAAGAATTAAATTTGATTGAAGAGTTGTTTAATTAATAACAGGTTGCATTCCACTGCACGTGGTGGAAACAATGCATGCACCGGCACAGATCATGAAGCTGGACTTTGACACGGTGTCTCGTATGACACTCGCTCACATGTACTCGGGCATGACACTCAAGGTTATGTTTAACTCTCAAAAATATTCGAGCAGCAAATCTAGATTCACTCCAAATCTTTCAGTAATCAAGCGGCAACAATCTGTAGATCACATACCACTAATAACCTCAACCCTTCACTTTGTACATGGATGGAACAGATTATACCCGATTGCACTTTGTTTCAGTATGTTACTCCTGATCAGTGGTCACATGGTTATATCTTTCTCTACTGCAGTTGCGATTCCGAGACAATCGGCAGTTAACTTCAATGCAGGCATAGTTCTTAAGGGTGATCAACACTAAATTTGCCATTTTCATTGTGATGCACATCTAGTCAAGGTGAACTCCTGTGTCAGAACGATGCTTTGGGAATCCAAGGAAATTTACCATTGGGTCATTTACCTGACCCAACAGTCTGGTATATGACTGGACCAATAGCAGACAAGCACAAGTGCCTGCTCCGAAGACAATGCAGTGCTCAAGTCAACAAGGTCGATGACATCATGGAAATGTACTGGCGGAGGCAGGAGTTCTGAGCCCGCTGACTGATGTGACCCTCACTGCATGTACGCACTGGAACACAACCCTGACTCCTCGCTCTACGACATAACCCTGCAACACCGTGTTTCAAGTAAAAACTTGTATAACTGGCTCTGGTTGATTGAGGACTGGCATGCAATGACCCTTGCAATGTCATTGGCCTGCCCAGCCAGAAGGCTATTCGTAAGTACCCAACAAGGCAGACCTAGATCCCAGACAAGAGAATTCAGGACAGTGGCACTGATGAATGTGCACTCTGGAGATTCCCCGCTTGTTTACATCCATCTTGCTGTGAACTCACTTGCACAACTTAAGACAGTCATGAAATTCCATATTCTCTCTCTCTCTCTCAGAAAGCATACATGCTAACTATGGATGCCAATTAGAATAAATGCCACTAGCATTAAAAGCAATGTGACTGCTAGGAACCATATAGCTGGTTAACAAAGGAAGGGCATCCCACCAAACTTACCATTCACACCAACTAGACATGGTTATCTTGAGATGATTTCAGGGCTTAGCGTCCCCACGGCCCAGTCATCGACCAGGCCTCCTTTTTGTTATACATCCCCAGGAAGCAGCCCGTAGCTGCTGTCTAACTCCCAGGTACCTATTTACTGCTAGGTGAACAGGTGCATCAGGGTGAAAAACTTTTTGCCCATTTGTCTCCGCCTCCACCAGGGATCAAACCCGGAACCTCAGGACTAAGAATCTGAAGCATTGTACACTCATCTGTAAGGCGCCCTTTTACATGGTGTAAAGTCAGTTGAAGTTTCTTTCCTAATGTTGTGATCCCAGTTGCTGTAGTTGATATTAAATGGTCACTGGGGACAACCATAGACTATCGAGGAATTCAAATCAGTATAAGGATTGCTAATGCAGATATTTCAGTGTCCCAGAGCCATGAGAGGAAGTCCGAGCTGAAGTAAAGTTCAGCGACAAAAATATCATAATTTTGAGAAGATACATTAGGGGCGGAATATCGTGGTTGGTGTCCTAGGAAAATACCAGGACACTAAACACATCCTGGCATCATTTTGAAATTGATTATTTCAATATGATTGATAGGAAGGATCATTTTGAAATTGTCAAGAAGGCAATTGGAGCTGCTGCAGTTCACAATAAGCAACGTTTGTTGGGAAGCACTATAACTGATCCAACAACTGACAAAGCCTAGTTATGAGCATTTGGAGATAGCGAGGTGAATATTCCCAATGCAAGTGTGTTTGGAATAATTTATTATGCAAGCCTATTCAAGAGGGCTGGTGTACATTATTTTACACAAAAAGCTATAGATACTGACTAGAGGGGGGAAGTGGAATGCATTGAAGAGTTGCTGAAACCAATTCCATCCACAGCTTTAACAAAAAATCTGGTGGAAATGTTAATATTAAAAGGGGTAATTAGCATGCCAGGCATAAATGGCTAGGCAGCAGTACATAAAGAAGATAGATCTCTCTCACTTTTTCCCCCCCTCCCCCATCACTGATAATAACAGACCTCATGAAGCATGACTGCATGAAGACCTTTTAAAGAAAACCCCTGGAACGAGTGATGAAGTGAAAGAGTTTCTTGAGGTTATCTTGAGATGATTTTGGGGCTTTAGTGTCCCCGCGGCCCGGTCCTCGACCAGGCCTCCACCCCCAGGAAGCAGCCCGTGACAGCTGACTAACACCCAGGTACCTATTTTACTGCTAGGTAACAGGGGCATAGGGTGAAAGAAACTCTGCCCATTGTTTCTCGCCGGCGCCTGGGATCGAACCCAGGACCACAGGATCACAAGTCCCGCGTGCTGTCCGCTCGGCCGACCGGCTCCCTTAAGGCGAGGTTTAAGGTTTAAGGCGAGCAGGGGATGGTTTGAGAAATTTAGAAAAAGGAGTGGAATTCATAGTGTTGTGAGGTATGGGGAGGCTGCCAGCTCAAACAAACCAGCGGCTGAAAGATTCATTGGCGAATTTAAAGATTTTGTGCAGAATGAGGCATACCTACCACAACAAGTGTTTAATTGTGATGAGACAGGGCTATTCTGGAAAAGATTGCCAAAGAAAACACACATTACCAAGGAGGAGAAGTCATTGCCTGGACACAAGCCTATGAAAGATCGGTTTACTCTTGTCTTGTGTGGTAATGCGAGTGGTGATTTGAAAATTAAACCCTTGCTTGAGTATCATTCCGAAAATCCAAGGGTTTTCAAAAAAATATAATGTGCAGAAACACAAAATGTATGATGTGGAAGGCTAATGCTAAGGCATGGGTGACTAGGCAATTTTTTACGGAGTGGGTGAATGAGGTGGTGTGCCCTGCAATCAAAAAATATTTGCAGGAGAACAGTTTGCCACTCAAGGCCCTGCTTCTTCTCGAATGCTCCTTCATTGACGGAGGAATTTAGTTTTGTTACAATAAAGTTCCTTCCTCTTAACACCACTCCTCTACTTCAGCCTATGGACCAGAAAATCATTGCCAATTTTAAGAAACTTTGATCTCTGTCTGGAGAAAACTGTGGCCTGAATGTGTTGCAGAATGAGACTGAGGGGTTTGAGCCTGAACCTGTAGTGTCTCTTGTTGAGGAAATTGTTTCTCTGGGTCGGCAATTGGGCTTGGAGTTGGATGGTGCTGATGTGGAGGAGTTGGTGGAAGAACACAACGAAGAACTGACCACCAAAGAACTCCAAGCCCTTCAAAAGGAGCAGCAAGAAGAGGCAGCCGAGGAAATTTCTTCAGGGGAGGATGTGCCAGTACAGAATGTCTCTTCCTCAACAATTAAGAAAATGTGTGCAGTATGGGAAGAATTGCAAACCTTTGCTGAAACGACTCACCCAAATCAAGCTGCAGTAGGCCGTTGCCTTAACCTATTCAATGACACTGATGCATCATTACAGACAAATGTTAAAACGAAGGGAAAAACAAATGTCTCTTGACAAATTTGTAGTGAGAGAAACAAGCAGTGAACAACAACCAGGTTCTAGTGGTATTCAGGCAAAATGTAGGAGAGAGAGTACACCATTGAAAACATCACTGCCTGATGTGATAATGGAAGTGGACTCCCCTTCCAAACAGTAACAACTCTCCTCCTTCCCTATCATCACCATCTTCCATACGCCATCAAGAGCCCTCCATAAAGATAAGATAAACTTATGTACTGTATTGTAGCTAGAAAAAAACATTGTATTCACTATAAAATGTATTTGTAAGTTAATATTTTGGAGGGTGGGGAACGGATTAATTCAATTCCCTTTATTTCTTATGGGAAAAATCACTTCGACTTACGATATTTCGACTTACAATCCGTCTCTGGGAACAGATTAGCATCGTAAGTCAAGGCCCCACTGTATACTGTTATGGTTATGTTGCATGAAAAAAAAACATCCAAGGGTAAGCAATAATTCCACCCTTCATTTCAGATTATTATATATATGTAAACTGAATAATTTATGTGTAACAAATTTTACAGTGTAAACTCGTTGGCAGGTAAATTGAGACGAAGTTATTAATGTGGTGTCACTCAGAGGCGACCACGTGACTGCTCTTGTCCCATCCTGTACATAATGACGCCACGAGCACGAGACCCCGAGTCTGGCTGGCGACTCACGTGTTCTATGCCGATACTTGAATGTTGAAGCCTTCTAGTCAGATAAGGCTTTAAATAAATTTACAAATCATATTAGTATAACATCTATTAACAACTTAGTAATGAATTTCCTACCAATCGATTAATTTCGATTTAGTAGGCTATTATTAATAAAACCCAACTTGTGTGAAACTTTAATATCACACTGTCCGCTATCGAAATAAATAAATTAAAGTAAGAAATAAATTAAGAAATAAATTATAAATTGTAAATTATAAATCATTAAAATTAATTAATTTTAATTAAAATAAATAAATAAATCCCCGAGTCAGTTTTCCCCACAGGTGCTGTGCATGGGAATGGTGAGTGCAGTGGGTGGCAAATAGTGGCAGTCTAAGAGGTTTTTCTTTCCTTTCCTCTCCTGACTGTTGAGAAATTATGGACATGTACAATGAAAGCTTAAAATCTGATCCTTAAAACTATGAAGAAAAAATGACTACTGGGTCACACAGCATAATATAATAAGGCACAGTGTGTATATGGTTGTACATTTGTGCGAGTGTCAAGTGAATGTGATCAAACTGCTCAACGCATCCCACAAATTTTATTTTGTTTTATAAAATAATATTGTTTAATTTAAATATAGCAGCCATAGTTTTGGCTAAAATTTAGTAATTTTTTGTAATCAAAACAGCACGATGAGGTAAACAAGATATAGAACAAACTTTTCAGAAGACAAAATCTAGCATTATAAATTTATAAGGCATCCATGTTCAATACATGATTCCAAGTGCCAAGTAGTTCACGGCACAGAAAGCCTTTAGATAGTAGGTGGATACAATGGAGGGGTCTAACCTTCGGATTTGAGAGACTTTGAAGTACTTGATCTTGATATCAACACACTTCGGTAGACGTGGGATGCAGCTTGAGGCTGATTCCTGTAATGCTTCATAATCTCTTGGAAGATCCTGTCATTCCCTGTCACTTTGCAAGTGATGTATATAGCACACATTATCATTTGGTCCATATGTCGATCACGCATTAGTTCTGTGTGGTGGATAATTGAATGCTCAAAGCAAGTCCAAATTTTTTTTCTCAGTTCTTTATCTGTAATATCTAATCTATCACACAATTCTCGTAGCCTCATGTTTGCCAAGGTGTAGAACTGTAAAGACAGAAAAAGCCCTTGTTATATTATGAAAGGCAGCAGCACCAGCAACCTTCATTATACAAGTTTTATGGCAATATTAGTGAACACTTTACCATAATTTAAATAATGAATTTATTTATGAATTAAGTAAACAAA